CATCTCATCTACAGACGTGTGGCCCTCACTTAGACTTCTCCATCAAAAGTACTGGTGGTAAATAACGAATTCCCAGTCGCTGGGCCTGTAAGGAAGTAAATTCTATTTTTACAATAAAGACAAAAAATAAAATGAAAAAGCCAAACACTGTTTGGGCTCCTCCACTTAGCTAAGGCTCTCCTGATGAGGCAATGTACAGCAAACCAGGATTGGATCTGGGCAGAATATTCACATTAACCAATCATTTTCAGGCAGATCACTTTTCATACTTCGTAATTTCTGTGAGCTGATTCCTTTACTGTTTGCATTCATTTATTCTCTGCATTCATACGTCTCCCCTAACTGAAGAAATAAAGAGTTTGTTAGGTGTTTTTGCCATCAGCATTAACATTTGGTATACAAGGTAGTTGTTTTTACGTGTGCTCATATAACTCTCTTTAAATGCTACCTACACTTTAGTCATCGTTTGCATGATCAGATAATGAGTCACATCATGTTTAGTCAAGAGATATTCCCGAACAAAATGATCTTTGTTCCAAAACTCCAACTATCTTTGTTGGGGATTTAACTACTTGGTATTCGAGTAGTTCAAAGGCTCATATTTTCCTTGAGTCTTTGACCTAAAGAGAATTGGCTACTCTAATTCTCATTTTAATTCAAGGAAAATGTAATAGTCGCTAACAATTGTTAAGTGATTACAAAATATCCACACCTGATTTAAGAGCTTTGCATGACTTACCTCAATCCTTAAAATAATTCTAAGATATAATATGATACTCCTTTTTTCTTATATAAATGGGGAAAGTGAGACTCAGAAACGGGGTCACTCATTCTGCTGAGCCATTGCAACAACTCAGCTCTGACCTCTCCCTGTTGTTACAGATGCATGTGTCCTTTAGTTATGATTGCTGCAAATCATCATTGAGAGCCCACCATGTGTCTGGAACAGCCTTAGGCCTTAGGGAGTCAGCAGCATAAAATCTAACCCTATCCAGGGGAGCTTACAGTCTAAAGAATGGGAGGAGGAAATAATACTCAAATTCATGTCAGTTTTGCTAAGTGTAATGAAGAAGAATGAACAGAATAAGTTAAGAATGGGATAGAAGGGCGCCATCTTACTTGTGCTGGTCAGAGAGTGTCTCCCAGATGTGGTTGTGTTGTAATCCATCCACTCACCCCGACACCCAAGAAATGTGGGGAGTGTAACAGGTGTGTAACAGGTGGTACACCCAGATCAAGCATCCCAAACATGACGAGATCTATCCCCTCATCTCACTCTTTCCCTTTCAGCTTTCTCCGACTAGCATTCTCTGGCTTCTCTTGGGTCTTCAGGCTCTGTCTCTCCTTTCATAGTAGCCATTTGCTTCTTCCGTTCTTTTTCTGAGTCTCTCTCCAATTCTCTCACCTTTATTCTTCCCCCTATGCTCCTCCGTCTTTCCCAAAAAGTAGCCATAACTTGGCTGTGAGACATAATGTTTTGTACTGACGAAACACAGCTTAACCTTCATGGTTGAACTTTTAGACAAAATTCTAAAATGTTAGTCCTTCACTTTTCCACAATTCCTGTTCCTTATCCATGATAGCAGGTGTCACGGTTATGAAAGGAAAAGTCACTCAAATGCTGCTGTTCAAGTAAAGCAAAGAGAGCCTTTTCCCCTGTGTAGTGCCACTTGCCCACGCCAGCAAAATGAAGGTCAGGAACTCAGAACTTCCCCCAACATGATCTCCACTTCTCCTCCGTTTTCTTTCCTGCAGCCAGGGTTTGGAAGGCAGTTGGGAGTATAAGTCAAGGAGGAGACTGCTGAAGCCGTTCACCTGAATAAAGTACAAAAAATAGCCTTCAATAAGAACACTGTGTATAAAATTTTTGGGTTCACAGTCGATCTAAATAGCCAGAACTATGGGACAGAACTATCAAAAAAAGCAGATAGTTGGAGAATTCAAGTTATGGCCAATGACAGATATCTAACTCATAAAAATGTGGATTTTCTTAGGACTATGTGTGTGGTAAAGCAGTAACATTATCCAAAGGAAGGTGTAGCCTTTGCCCTTTGCTGGGAGGTGATGTCTGGGCCCTTGGAATGTCCTGCAGCATGAGAGTATCTGTTTAGGAAGAGGCCTTGGGCTGCATGGGAGAGTGTAATAATGTCCTTTGTGTTGGGAGCTTTGGGCCATGTGGCGTCGGGACTGCGAGCTAAAAGATTGAGCATGTGGACAGTCAACAGTCAAACATGTTTATGTGATAAAGGCCTGTGGTTGGCAATGTGTATTGTGTTGTTGTAATGTTGTGTTGCAGGAGGCATTAACACTCCCCACACCCACAAAGGAAAAGGATTACTAGAAGCTCTGAGTTGGGACCCCTTAGAGACTCTGTTCATGTGCCTCTTACCTTGGCTTATTTAAAACAAAAACAAAAACTTTTAAATTTAATTTAATTAACATATTGTGTATTATTAGTTTCTGAGGTAGAATTTAGTGATTCATCAGTTGCATAGAACACCCAATGCTCATTCCATCAAGTGGCTGCCATAATGCCCGTCACCCAGTCATCAAATCCCCCCACCCACCGCACTCCAGCAACCCGCACTTCGTCTCCTAGAGTTAAGAGTCTTTTATGGTTTGTCTCCCTCTCTGTTTTCATCTTATTTTATTTCTTTCTTCCCTTCCTCTATGTTCTGTTTCTTAAAATTCCACATAGGAGTGAAATTAGCTTGTTTTTAATCAGTATCCTTTTGATATAATAAACCCCAACCTTGACTATAATAACTTTTAGTGAATTCTGTGAGCCATCTGTGAGAATTACCAAATAGGAGGATGGTTTTGGATGTCAGACATGAGGGCAGTCTAATGGGACTGTTCCTCAACTTTTCACTATGTCACAATGATATTAGTATTACTATATTCTGTTTATTACTTACATATTTGGATGAATATTTTGCCTTGATTTAATGATTTTTGTAGTTCCCATATGAACCCAGTTCTTTTCACCTGCCAGCATATTTCCACAGAGTGATAAATACTTTTTTAGGTCTTAGTGGCTGATGATTAAAAAAAAAAAAAAAAAAAGCAAGCAATTAGCTATAAGTTTCTTTGATGGTCTACAAACCTAAGGGCTTCAGAAGGTCAAGAACAACTTCATCTCTCTTTATATCTCTAGTGCCTGGCCCAGAGGCATTTGATGACTACCTCTTGAATGACTGATTTATAAGAAATATTCTGAATCATTGCCATGGTACAACTGAATAGGGAATTTTGATATGTGTCAAGGATATCCTTAAAGATCTTCATGACTAAATTATGCTCTTTAATTTCTTCTTTTAAAACATCCTTTTGCTACCTCTTAATCTGTTACCTTGCACTTTGAACATGGTAGGTTATTTTTAAGTATGACTCATTCATCAATTCAGATTCTACATTTGAAATATATTAATTTAGCTTTAACTTCTTGTTCAACTGCAATTTTTATTAATTTATGTTTTTCCATATTGTTCATTTCTTATATTTTCATAAGCCAAAGTATTTTCTAGGGCTGTTCCTTTCTATTGTATTTATTTTCACTTTTGTTTTTTTTCTCACACCTGTCAGTTTTGTTGGACATTCCTACAAGCATCATGAATGGGAGATTTGCTGTGCAGGTAGCTGGTTAGGAGTTCTCAGATGAATTCCTTCAGTTAATTCAGTATTTTCTCTAAGTACCTGCAACGTGCTGGTTTTATGTAACTGTACAGACCACTGTTTGGTCCCTTACAATCTCAGGAAAAGTCCCTCAGGACATCATGTGGGAGTTTGATTGGTTTTTGTCTCTGTGGTTAATGGTCAGTGTAGTCTAATTCCTGAAATTCTTAACGAGCCACCACTTATCAAAGTATTAGGTTCAGGGGCGCCTGGGTGGCTCAGTGGGTTAAGCCTCTGCCTTCGGCTCACGTCATGATCCCAGGGTTCTGGGATCGAGCCCTGAATATGGCTCTCTGCTCAGTAGGGAACCTGCTTCCCCCCTCTCTCTGCCTGCCTCTCTGCCTATTTGTGATCTCTGTCTGTCAAATAAATAAATAAAATCTTAAAAAAAAAATAAAGAACAATCTTCCTTCCCACCCTCAAAAAAAAGAAAAAAAAAAGTGTTAGGTCCAGGTGATCATACAGCTGATTTCTATCTACTCTTTAAGGCACAAGTACTGTTTACAGTCAAGTATTTAAAGCACAAGAGAGATGAAGTGGCTATGTGCACTGTGTACATAAATGTACTCCCCTTACCTTGAAAGGTGGAGCCAGGTCCTTTCTGAATATATGCTGCATTTAAGTGACTTGCTTCTAATTAATAGAAAGTGGCAGAAGGACAGCGTGTGACATTTGAAACTAGGCCACAGAGACTGTGGCTAATCCCTCCCCCACTCTCTCTATGATTTGTCTTTGTGGAAGAGAGTCCATTAGCCCTCCTGAGCGGTCCACGTGGCAGGGCACGGAGGTCCTACTGAGGTCCNCTCCTGCCAAGAGCCAGCAGGAACGTGGGTAGCACGGGAGTGAGCGATTTTGGAAGGGGACCCTCCAGACACAGTCAAGCCTTCAGGTGACTGCAGCCCATGTTTACGTCTTGACTCCAACCTCATGAGACACCCTGGTCAGAACCTCCCAGCAAGTCACTTCTGGATTCCCGACAACCCAGAAACAAAATGAGATAATAAATGTTCGTTGATTGAAGCTGCTGAGTTTTTAGGTAGTTTGTTACACAGCAGTAGAGAATAGAGGAAGGACCACAATTAAGCTTTTGACATTATCCTAATCCTAATGACATCATGTGCATGGATGAACCCCAAAGAGAAAATCACAATGATTTTTATTTGTGAACAGAGGAGGTAAAATACTTCTGAAACACTAAAATGTGTGCATTATTTAAGATAATATTATTTATTATAATATAATATTACATATATAATATTATAATAATATTGTTTAAGATAATAATAGAACACAACCAAATAAAATTTGTCCTGGGAATGCAAGTATGGAGTAACATTAGGAAATCTACCTGTACTGCATTGTAGCAGGATAAAGGAGGAAAAGCACATGATTCCATCAAATCCAACAGTTCACACAGCATTCCTAGTAAGTACTCTTCAAATGTATTTAGAAGGAAACTAATCAACACATACAGATTACACGCTCACATTTGCACTCAGGCAAAGAAGGTTTTCACAAGGCATGAACTACCAAAGCCACTTCCATGAGAAGGAAGACAAAGACAGTGATGTCTGCCAGCACACCTAACATAGCAAATAGTTTGTGATTTTAGCTAACGCAGTAACTTGATAAAAATAATTAACAGAAATAGACATAGGAAAGAAAACTTTTGATTTGCTAGAGATAGTATTATGTGTAATGAAAATGAAAACAGGCCTTTAAATCATTAAATATTGATTAGAATTGACAAAAGTTTAGTAATCAAATAGATATAAGGTGCATGTAAATAATCAATTTCTCAAACCCCCCCCCCGAATTTATAACAGTTTTTCAGTCTGATGTCATGTGCCAGAAGCGATTAGAAAGCAGAACCTTGTGAACATCGGCCTTACATTTGTTGGGAGAATTTATGGGGCTTAGTTTACAGTGTGACAGCGTATCCCCGCATTGGTTGTATGAGTTTCACTCTATTTCATTTTTCATTACATGCGTAATCCGTCAACTCTTAAAAAGTCTCAGCTATGATCTTTGAACATTCACACCAGTACCATTCTCTCTGGTTCTTTCTGGTACCCTGATTAGACATATGGTAGCCAAATTTACTCCTAATTCCAGATCTTTTAAATTACTTTCACATTTTTTTCCCCGCATTTTGGATCAACTCTGCTTACAGAGTTCATGTAAATTCTTCATCTGGGGTCAATTGACTATTTGGCCTATCCAGCAAGCCTTTAAAATTTAATTTTCTTATGATTAATATACAGATAGATTCATTTGTAGAATTTGTGTTTGGTTCTTTCAAATCTTTTTGGAAAATTCTTTGTATTCTTAGTCCCTCAGCATATTTCAAACAGTCCTTTTTTTTTTTTAATATTTGTTAAAGATTTTGTTTATTTATTTGACAGAGAGAGATCACAAATAGGCAGAGAGGCAGGCAGAGAGAGAGGAGGAAGCAGGCTCCCCGCTGAGCAGAGAGCCTGACTCAGGGCTTGATCCCAGCACTGGGATCATGACGTGAGCCAAAGGCAGAGGCTTAACCTACTGAGCCACCCAGGTGCCCCCACCCCTTTAAAATATATTAACGTAAGCAATCTGAAGTCTGTTTCTTTTTATTCCTTTTGTTTCCAATTGTGTGCTTCTCTGATTCTTGATCAGTGTCTTGTTGAATTGTGTGTTGATTTGGGTTTTGAAGTTGCTCCTGCATGCTCTTTGTTATCTTACCTGTGGGGATTTGTTGAGACCTCCACAGAGGATCTGTATTTGCATTTACCAGGTGCTCAGGGGTGTAAATCGAGCTTGGGATATCCCTACATTAATTCTCAGGCTGGGTGTTCTGAATCTCTGTGATTTTAATGGCAGAAACAAGTGAGTTGTAGTCCAAATTCTCAGTGGCAGAATCTACCTCGCTCAGCACCCAGACTCAGGGCACACTGTTGTTGCGATTCTCCATGGTGAGTGTGGGTATGGGCGTGTGTGTGTGTGTGTGTGTGTGTGTGTGTTCATTTCCAGTTCATCCTACTGTGAGGATGTAACTGGTGAGGTTGTCAGCTACACCAGGAAAGATTTCTCATCAGTGTTCTTGGTGAACTCTGAACCATTGGTTGCTTACCTCCTGGCCCTTTCCTCTAGATCCACAGCTTCTTTTCCAGATTTCTTTTCCCCACAATAATCCATTCCCCAGCAGCAGGAACCTTTTATGCCACAGGACCTTGTGCAGCAGAAGCGACATCCTGCCAGGGAGGGCTTCCCTTCCCTTTCTCCCTCCTCAGTCCTTGCTTCCCATGGACAGGGGGAATGAGTCCAGGGTACTGAGAAGGGGCCCTCGGTCCTGGGGTAACTATTGCCCAGTCAGTCAGACACCTTATAGGAGTAAGTAGTGGGGCTTCTCTCTCGTGACCTGGAGAGCTTTACAGCTAAATACTGCCGGAAGACTAAATAAAACAGGACTTCCTAGGAGAGAAGCTATAGTAGGTGATGGGATTTGAAGGCCTAAGACAGGACAACTTCTCTTTCCTGTCCCTCTGTGCCCTTGGATTACAGCACAGACTCCCCCCACGCACACCACCTCCCACCTTGGCCCCACCAGCTGAAGGGGAGCAATTGCAAAGGTCCCAGAAAAGCCTATGTAAGATTTCCGTGAGAACTCATATTGTCTTCAGCTTTTTTCAGTATTACGTATCTATAAGCTTAAAAAAAAGAAAAGCTCTGAGCAGAACAAAGTTTTCAGAGACTACCCTTTCTGCATCCGGTAAGAGAGCCTTTCCAAGTCCTTGAACATCACGATTAATTTGGAGCCCCCAACACGGTAAACGAGACCTCTACCCTTGGAATGGTATTTCCATTTAAAATTGATATTTAGTTTTGTCAAACTAAAGAAATAATGCCTGTACAGAACCGTTTTTGTTGTGAGCGCTTAATTTTTGGTGGGTATTGTAACTAACCGGAAAACATACTTGCTACGCAGCCCTAACTGGAAATTAAAGTCCTAGCCATAATCAAATTTAGGAAACATCCCGAGAATAGCTCTCGGAATAAGGATTACAGTTCATTTACTGAGAGCATGCGTGGCTCTGAAAAGAGCCTTTGGGGTTGGATGACGACAGGACGCTTACTTGGCGGGCTCACTTGGAGCTGGTGTACTTGGT